CCAATTTGAGTCTTGTTCTTCTCAGGATACTCAACACGGAAGAAGCTGTGGAAGTCCCAGCCCAGCCGCTCGATGGCTGTTAATTGAGCAGATGTTGAACTGATAGGCGATGAGTTAGCCATAGTCGAGATTCTAGGAATAAGTGCTTAAGTATATGGCACCCTAATGGTGCCTAAAGCGTCTAGGATTTGCAGTGAGATTCGCAGTATCAAAACAATAGAGACAGGGCAGCTCGGCCATAGCATTGATTGAAAAAGTCATCACTCGCATGTGGAAAATATCGAATCGAAGAAACCTCTTAATTTCTATCTAATGAGGGACTGGGAGCTGGCTTCTTGTAGCTATGTTTCGTCATAAGCAGCATTGATGGCCTTTAGGCAGCCGTATGCTGCCTTGCGCTAGTTGTGATGTGGCGTTCGTGCTGTCCGTGAAACTATTCACGACAGTTATCCTTGGCCGTGACAGAGCTTATCCGAGGAGTAAAGAGAACATAAACTTATATGCCTGTCTGCTAACGGTGGGCATCTAAGAGCCATAAGTGTGCCACGGGTCGTAGCCATCAGTGAGGTCGTTTACTACTCAGCCGGTGGCGGATAGCTTCACGGCGTAACAAGGCCATCGTGGCACGTCACGTTTCTGGTGTATACGATAAAACCAATATCTGATTAGCTAACACTACCAACTTGACCAATTATATGGAGCGTCTTATTGTTGTACAACAGTTGTTTGGGAAGTCCGGTAGTGTTGTACAACTTCAACAAAAGTAGTGTTGTACAACTATACAACAGTTGTACTCATATAACAACACTACAATACGCATGTATGCCTGGTGGGCAGACTGATTCAGTGCGAAATCGAAACAAACATGGACCACGACTCTGACCACCTACCTATCGTCACCTCACTAGACCTGAATATTGTCAAAATGATGTCCAAGCCCCGGCGAAATTGGAAAGCCTTAGATGAAAAGACATTCACTCGCGTGCTGCAGCGGGAGCTTCCGCCACAGCAAAGACCAAGAACGAAGACAGCTCTGGATAGACATGTGGAGGAAGTGATGGTAGCCTTAACGGTAGCTGTCGAGGAAGCAGTACCGACGACGATTCCATCGTCTAGATCGAAATCAGGATGGAATGAAGAATGCGCCAAAGTACTGGCACAATCAAAACGACTCCGTCGGCAACACAGCTTATACCATACCGAAGAGACATGGGAAGCATACCGAACGGCGAGAAATCACAAAGGTAGAACCATCAAGAAAGCGCTCAGACAGAACCATCGCGAGAGGATAGAAGAAGCTTCTCAATCCCCAACAAACCTCTGGCGGGTAGCAA